GGCCGCGCCTTTTGGTGATAGGGCCCGGCGCCCCCGCGCCTAGTCTGGGGTGCGCTCTGCCGCCCCCTCCTTGCTCCGGGCGCCAGGGTGGGGGTGTCCCTGGGCCTTTGCTGCGGGAGAGGGGAGGGCGAGCTGCTGCCAGTGGCGCCGGGGACAGGTGCAGGGGGGTGTGGCCTTGCGCGGCTCTCTGCGGGGGAGAGCAGAGCAGGGACCCTCCGCTCAGGGCCGCATGTCCCCGGCCCAGACTGCGCACCGAGCGGAGGGGGAAGCCGATGATGGTTGCCCGGGACATGGAGCTTTCATTGACCCCTCCCCCGCCCCTTAATCTGCCCCCTTGTCGTTAAAAAGCAGCAGGCGAGGCGATCTCCCCTCCCGCCGCAGCCACGTACAGAGGCAGGAGCACGCGCAGCCCCCACGCGAGGTGCGGCCAGCACATCTGCACGCGGTGCCCCGTGCTCCGCTCCCCCACGCGGCGACCGGGTCAGCAGAGCTGGGCGAAGGGGATACAGAAATGTGCCGCTGGTGCTGCTTGTCCCGACGTGAAGAAGAGAAGGGGAGTGAGAAAGTTTGGATCAAGGAAGGGAGCGAGGCGATGGGCTTGTGTTGGGGGCTCTCCTGCCATTGGGAGGCCGTTCTACAATACCGGCTGGGGGCGGGCAGAAAGGAACCCACTCCCAGGAAAATAAAAAACAAAACAAACAAAACCTCTTCAGCTCAGGAAAAACGTGTCACAAGCTTTAAATCTGTCAAAAATCGACCTGCCTTTGCAGGAAATGAGGTAAAAATCAGAGTATCAGAATAAAGTACCCCAAAGCACATCCAAAATGTTAATTCTGTGCAATGCTGTAAATTGAAATACCTAAAATTCAATAAACCCTTATGACTTCAAAATACTAAACTTCTGGAAATAAGGAGTGTTTCCTCTTTTTCTGCATATGGTTTTCTTTCCAGCAGGAGTGGTCTTTCTTAGGACCATGTGCCTCTCTGATTTTGTAGATGAGGTAGACACTAGTTTATCATCAGTGACATCATGCAGAAACTGGAGACCCCTGTATTAACCTGATTCTAACTGGCCACTGTAACAGACTGGTAATTATCATGCTATCTGCAGCACCTCTGTGATTTTCATGTTGTATTTTCAATAAACACAGTGTATTGATTTTACCCTGAAAAAGATCCAGTGTGCTTCTTATAAGCAAAACAAGGTGACCTGGAAAGTGATAAAAGAATCTTTGTCTCTTTTAATGGAGGAATGGTTGGATGGCTCAAGCTTTGTCATTGTAGCAGTATACAAGATTATTTCCTAAATATTTAGTAGAGAGAGATATAGAGAGAAATTAAAGATTTCTTCCTTCTACCCACAGATAATTAGGACAATGTGAAATCCAGCTCATTCCTTCTTAAGAGAATCAAAACACCCAGAGGTCACTCTAATACTATGTATAAGAAAGGTGACCAGTTATAAACATTGGTTTTACCACAGTTGCACAAGGGCTAATTGGCTAGAAAGGATGCTGTGAGGCTAAAAGTGAAACTTTATCAGCCTCTACACTGCAATAAAAGAGCCCCTTAGCCCAAGCCCTGCCCTTGGTTTTTAATTGCTGTGTAGACACACGCTGAGTGGCATAGCTAAATACAAGGTGGCACAGATGGCTTAGCATAAGTAGTTAACACATATTTCAAAGGACCATTCAAAGTAAAGTGTAACAGTCATTCAGCAGGGAGCATGGGGGAAAGAATGCGCCAGTTTCTCAGTAATTTTCTTCTCTCCAGTAGATGAATCAATGTCAAGGAGCTGTCCCTGTCCATCCACTTTAAATGGTTGCAGGATCAAAAATGTTTGTTTCCATGGAGTGCACCTCGAGTTCTATTATCTAGAGAGGGAAGGTGATTTTTGAAATGCTGGAGTCAGGAGAAATATACACATAGACCATTGTTCACACTGGATCTGATCTTGCACTTCTTTAAATCAATGGCAACACTCGAATTGACTTCAAGAGTGCAGGAGCAGGATCACTATTTCTGTTTCCTACCCTGTAGAATATTTTAAATCCCAATAAATGTGTAGCTTGATAGCTCTGATTCTGGGCTTCTATTGCTTACTACAGTCATCAAATCTCTATACATCACACATAAGCAATTAATTTTAAATTAAATACATGTATTTGAATCTGACTTACAATATCTGATGTAGTCTATTATAAATCAAATACAATATTATATAAAATTAGTAATATAATAAAAGAGCCTTAACAGATTAAATCTGTGCAAACAATGCTTTGCAGTCTACAGTTCATAGGACCAAATGATAATAATAATAATGATAATGATTAACATATTTATTGGTATTGTGGTAGCATCTAGGAACTCCAGTCTTGGACCAGGAATCTCAGTGTGCTACATGCTGTGCAAACATGGTAAAATCAGACAATTCTCACCCTGAAGAGTTCAGTCTGCCAGTTCATCATGTGCCTCTTAGTTATCTGAGCCCTCATATAGGATCTATACATTTAGTATGGCATAGTTCTGTGTGGGTATCTGGAGAAAATGTTAACCAGCTATAAGTTTAAGATACTGTTCTTTCTATTATTTTTTTCTGCTTGGAAGGAGTCTTGTCAAGATGGCCTGGTGGTGCAGAGGTGGCGTGACACTGCTATGTAGCAGGATGAAAAGACAGGTGCTGGTGTTCAGGAGTAACCTGTCTGACCAATGC